TGTTTGGGCTGGACCTAGTGACTTACTTCTGAATAGAACATAGCACAAGTGATGAGATGCCTATTCTGAGATTAGGATATAAAAGACTGATTTCTCTCTTGCTTGCTCCATTTCTCTCTGACTTTTCATGTATGTTTGCTTTGATGAAGCAAGCTATAAATCATGAACTGGTTTATGGAGAAGCCCACGTGGCAAAGAGGTGAGGGCAGCCTCTGGCTAACAGCAACTGAGGAACTGAATCCTGCCAAGAATCATGTGAGTGAGCTTGGAAGTGGACCCCTCCCTAGTCAAGCTTTCAGGTGAGACTGCAGCCCCTGCTGGCATGTTGATTACAGTTTTGAGAGAGAACCTAAACAAAGGATCCAGCTAAGGTATGCCTGAATTTCTGCCCACAGACACTGTGATAAATGTATGATGTTTCAGACACTTGCAGTAATTGATAACTAATAAATCTATATATGGAAAATCACATATAAATGCATGGCTTGATGAAATTTTATAAACTGAACATACCTGTGTAACCAATAGGTAGATGAAGAAATAGAAAATTATCAGAATCTTAGAAAACCTCACTCATATTCCCTTTTAGTCATTAGCTGAAATGTCCCTCTTCCCTGGTCTAGAATAACCTCTATCCTGACTTCTAACATCATAAATTTATTTTGCTTATTTTGGTGCTTTATGTAAATGCGATCACACAATATGTAAAATAGCTTCTAACAGATTCTCAGAGAGATCCCTTCTTACATGGAGAACCCTGAGACACATGGAGAGAGAGCCAATGATTGACATGTTTGTCAGTAGTTATCCATCACAGTCTTGATCTGAGAGTAGGCAATCTGATTTTAGAAGAGAAATATTGGTTACTGGACAGAAATAGTCCTAGAACAGGAGGAACAATTCATTTAGCCACCATGGCTTTGCATCCATGTGCTATGAGTTAGTTCCTTTTGCCCTGAGTCTCTGCTTCCCATGCTATTTTTTGTCTATAATTTGATTTCCTGAGAGACCAGGCCCAGAAAAAATAACCACAATTAGCCATATTTAAACCTCTCCATGAACCAACACCCCAGTGTTTGGGGTTTTATTTAGTTTTTCATAAGGTTGGTATTGGGAGTCAGAGCCCCTGAAATGTTTATCAACACCAGATGTAATAAGACTGAATTTCTAGGGATGCCTGGCTGGCTCAGTCAGAAGATCCTGCGTCTCTTGATCTCAGGGTTGTGAGATCGAGCCCCACATTGAGTGTAGAGATAACTAAAGAAAAGAAATAAACCTTAGGAAAAAAACCTGAATTTCTAGATCTAGTTGCTAACAGTGATGGAGATGTGCTTACTGTGATTTAGGTTCTATGTTAAGCACTATATATATTTATATAACTTAAAAACAAACATACCCTTACATAGTTATTATTAGGGTATTTTATAAATGAGGAAGCAGAGATTAACCAGCTAGCCTAAGATCATGCCCAGCTCACATAGCTAGTCAGAGGCCAACTGGGGAGTCACATACAGGTTCATTCACTTCCACTCGGAGTTTCTAGCCACAAAACTATAGTACCCCACAGAGCTCAAGTTCAAAGTCTGCTTGTGACCAGTGAGGATCCACTTGAGTAGTTAGTTGTATTCTTTATCACTGCCATTTATCTATGCACCCATCTGTCCATCCATTCAATGATCTGTCCAATCAACCAATTATCCATCTGCTATGGTCTGAATGTTTGTGTACCTCCAAAATATGTTGAAATCCTAAATCCTTAAAGTGATGATACTAAGAGATAGGGGTCTTTGGATGATGATTAGATCATGAAGGTGGGGTCCTCATGAATGAGATTAATGTCCTTCTATAAGTGGCAGAGGAGAGCTCCCTTGTCCCCTCCTGCCATGTGAGTATTCCAAAAGTCTGCAACCTGGAAGAGGGCCTTCACCCAGATTATGGTGGCGCCCTGATCTTGTACTTCCAGGCCCCAGAACTGTAAGAAATACCTGTCAGTTGTTTTTAAGCCTGTTCTGTTGTTTATAATAGTCAGCCTGTGGTATTTGTTCTAGCCAACTGACTGGACTAAGACACCATCCAGCCTTCCAAACATCTATCCAAACCTCCATCCATTCATCTAATCATCCATCTAGTCCCACGTGGTTATCCATTCCACAAATACCAAGGGCTTCTTCTATGCCAGAAAGAGGCTGAATGCAGGGGTGACTAGGATATAACAGCACATGTAAAAGGTAGGTTCCCACTAAACTTGAAACTCCCTGAGGGTAGAATCTCTTGTTTTTATATCTGCATTACATAAAATATGATTTGGCTCCTGTCTTCCTTTCTAACCTTATCTCACCTACCTATCTTCTTGCTCATTCCTCTTCAACCACACTGGTCTCTTTCTGTTTCTGGAATAAGCTAAGCCCTCTTTTGCCTCAGGAGTTTAGTAATTGCTGTTCCTTTTGACCCAAATGTTCATCCAACAGTGTGAATAACTGGCTCCTTCATATTCTTTGCATTTTAGCTAAAATGTCCTATCCTCAGAGGGACCTTTTCTTACCACCTTATCTAAAGAAGACACTCTGCCCCTCTGTCAGCAACAACTGCTTATCACCTCATCCTGTTTATTTCCTTTATGGCATTTCTCACAATCTGTAATCATCTTATTTATTCATTGCTTGTTTTCTAACTCCCTAATTAGAAAAATAAGCTCCAGGAAGCCAGCCACTAAGTTTCTCATGTTCTTTCTGCATGCCTTTGGCCTGGCTAGCCAGTAACTGACACATAGTAGGCCTTCAACATTTATTTGTTGAATAAATGGATGAGAGATGCATGACCAGATCTTCCCAACATTAGCAAGCTTGAAGAATAGTAGAAAACAAACCTGAAAGATAGAGGAGGAACGGAGAGGGCCTTGAAAGAAAGCAGAAGGGGTTATACTTGATGTGAACATAGTGACCCAGTAGAGGCTCTTCAGTTGCAGGATGAAAATGGTGATTTAGAAGGAGGACTTGGCACGCCACAATCTGCCGTAAATCCTTAATTTAAGTGATTCACTTCAGTGTCTTGCAATGAATTACTGCAAGAGTTAATCAGGTCCCAGGACCCGAACTATATTTTTTCCCTTCTGAGAGATTATACGGTGTGGGAACTCATCATGGCTCCAGGAGTTTCATAGGACTATACGTAATATTTAATTAATTGACTATGGTGAATTATAGACCAGGTGATCATGGTAAAAGCCCTGTAAGGTGAGAACTGTGTCTGTTTACTGCAGGCATCTGGCCTGTAGGAGATAAATTATTTGTTCAATGAATGAGTGAGTGGAATAGTCACGCACCACTTGGCAGAGTTGGGTTAGATAGGACCTGCTGCTAGCTGTGTGACCTCTGAGAAGATCTTTAACCTGGCTAAGGGTCAGTTTTCTCATCTGGAAAAGAAGAAGACTTAACTCACAGGATTTTAAATGGGAGCTTATGGGAAAATCCCTGACAGAATTGACACTCAGTAATTTCATATCCTTCTGCTACTTTGGAGATGCTAAACCTGCACTGACTAGGTTCCCTACTGGCTTTTCCCAAGAGCCCCAGAGCTTGAAATAGAACATATGGCGATACTTAGTTTTTGCCATTTTCAGTCCTTTCAATGTAAACCTGAAATTCTGTCTCTGAAATTTATTAGCTGACTGACCTTGGGCACTGTCTTTGTGCTTCCATTTCTTTATCTGCAAGATGGGTATAATAATATTACCTGTCTCACAGGAGTAGTGTAAGGATTGAGATCCTATACTGTTTGTACTAGGCCCTCATACACAGAAGGTGCTCAATAAATGTTAGCTATAATTATTTAGAATTTCATTTTTTACTCCCCTTAACGCTGTCAACTTTCCTCCCTGCCCTCTTGTCGGCATTCTCAGTTCTTATAATCTCTTCTGGAGAATAGGCTGATTCTGAGGTGCAATCTGAAATAAATGGGTTCAGTAGATTCTTCTGGACATAACAAATCCAGAGACTTAAGGTGGGAAGGGAAGTAGGAGCATTAGGACATTGAAGAGAGACTTTTTGAACCTGTGGCATAGAAGAGGCCAGGAAAGGAAAGCGCTTAAGCAAGGAACCAGGTGCGTCCACTTTTCCAGTAAATTTGGAGAGAGCAAACAATATTCACACGTAAGTCCCCCAATGCCTCAGGACTGCTCTCTGGGGCGTTCATCAGCTTAATACAGTATGCATGGTGTCCCTCCTCTTTTCATTAGCATTTTCCTACTTTGAAATAAGTAAGTTCATTGTTCCTAGAAAGTGGAGAGAAGTCAAGGAAAACACTCGTTGTGTGGGGGCTGGAGTGTCTGTCACGAGGTTTTGGAGAATGTCTTACACATCATTCTATCCCCAACACCTAGCACGGTGCCTAGCCTAGTAGAAGCTCAAAACATGTGTCTAGAATTATTTTCAAACTTTAGTTGGCCTTCTCAAAGAAGCTTGCCGTACCCACACACAGCCACAAGCAGGTCCGCGCCTAGAAATAACATTTATTCTAAGGACCTCCGCGCAGGGATTCTTGGGAAGCTGCTCCCCTCCCGCATTCTCTTGTTACTCCTCCCCTCGGTCGCCTTTGAAAGAACTGGCACGCCACATGATTCTCTCCTTTATTCCCACCTCTGAAAGCCTGACTAATAATGGGCAAGAGCCAAGGCCAACCATAAAACTTTATTTCCTCTTCCAGCCAATAGAAAGAGGCGATAAGTATATGGCTCAGCTTTTGTGACTTCCCCCGTCCCCTCACTCCTCCTCTAAGATTTAACATTTGACAATTCATCCGGCCAATGAGAAGTTCCTACTCTGTATGGGAGGGAGGGACTGACTGGGTGATAGACGCCCCCACCTAGCCTATGGAGTGTCACAAGTGCGGGAGGGGTATAGGACGGAGCCAATGGCGCGGTGCCAATAACGAGCATCAGGGAAAGGGCGGGACGAAACTGCTCAAGGGAGGGAGGGGAAGGCCCAGGGAACCAAGCAGCGCTGCCGCCGCCGCTGCACCCCGAGCTGGAGGAGGGAGAAGCCAGGAAGAAAATGGCGGCCGTGGCTGCAGAGGCGGCAGCGACTGCAGCGTCCCCCGGGGAGGGGGGCGCCGGCGAGGCCGAGCCAGAGATGGAGCCCATCCCCGGCAGCGAGGCCGGCACTGACCCCCTCCCGGTCACGGCGACGGAAGCATCTGTGCCGGACGGCGAGCCCGACGGGCAGCAGTCTTCTCCTCAGGCCGACGAGCCGCCGCTCCCGCCGCCACCGCCGCCGCCGGGGGAGCTCGCCCGCAGCCCGGAGGCGGCGGGGCCGGAGCTGGAGGCTGAGGAGAAGCTGCCCGCCCGGGTAGCGGAGCCGGCGGCAGCCGCGCCTCAGGAAACACCCGACCTTCCACCTTCCCCTGCACCACCGCCCGAGCAGCCCCCAGCTCCCGAGGAGCGCCAGGAACCGCCGCTGCCCCAGCCCGCAGCCCCGGCGCTCGTGCCGCCGGCGGGCGGGGACTCCGCGGTGTCGCAGCTGATTCCCGGCTCGGAGGTGCGGGTCACGCTGGACCACATCATTGAGGACGCGCTCGTCGTGTCGTTCCGTCTAGGGGAGAAGCTCTTCTCCGGCGTCCTGATGGATCTGTCCAAAAGGTACCGCGCCCGCCCCCAGGACGCCCCCGGGCCCGCTTGGTCCCCAGGGAGGGAGCGAGCCAGGACGGCCCCTGCACCCCGGGCTCCCGCCGCCTGCACGCCCTGGGGTCCCGTGCGGGGCGGGGCGCGCGCTCCGAGTGGGGCAGGCGCGCTGGGCCGGGAAAGGGCGGTCCCCGCCCCAGGTGGCCGCCTGTGAGGGCAGGTGTGTTACCAGGTGGGGGGCGCGGGTGCCTGACGGGCTTGTGGAGCTCACCCCTCAGCCCCCGGGCTCTCTCCGCGACCTGGCCTTGGCGCACCCACTCTGGGGGCTGGTGGGTTAATGCGAAATGCAGAAGGAGTTTTGCAGAGAACCTGGTGCTGGGCGGGGGACATTGCTCGTGAGGCACTTTTTCTCTTACATTCACCTTTAACGAGGTTGGAGAAAGGGGTGTGTGCATTGGGGTTCCCAAAAGGTTAACCGTCACTCCTTATAGGGGAAGAGTATTTGTTAGAAATGAACCTCTTGACTGTTACTGTTAGAACTAATTACTCTTACTGTGCGGTAGGGAAGCACATTTGGCTAATTAAAATGAGAGTTAAGCCTAAAGAAGAGAGAATTTTTTTCTTTTACCCTTTAGTATCAGGATGATGTGATATAGAAATGTTCAGATATTGATTTCTAATACCGTAGATACAGTTTATGTATTAAGGGCAAGAAGGTGGAATTCACGCACAAGCCTTTGGCTTAGCACATTTTCATCTTTGATTTAAAATGTTTGTGGGCATTGCTTTAAACAGGTAAAGAAGGTATTCTAAGTCTAGAGTTAAGTTAACCTTTTTATTCTCTTCTTTTGCAGATATGAAGTGCAGAGACTCCCATTCACGGCTCTCCATTCTGTTTCCTGCAACAGCACACACTCTGATGGGTATCTCACCTGTTTGGAAATGGCTTACTTTAATATGTTTTATTTTTTTTTAATATTTTTTTATTTGAGAGAGGGAGATTGAGAATGCAAGCATGAGCAGGGAGAGGGGCAGAAGGACAAGCAGACTCCCCTCTTGAGCAGGGAGCCCTGGGGATTGATCCCAGCACCCTGAGATCATGACCTGAGCTGAAGGCAGATGCTTAAGCACTGAGCCACCCAGACGCCCAGTATGTTTTATTTTTAACTCCTTGTACTCGCATAAAGACACCAGCATCGTTTTTCCATTTTGGGGGAAAAATTTTTAAAATACATATGGAAGGCAATTACAGGGCAGTAGAAATGTGAAAAAATAAAAAAATACATGTTGAAGTAGGGTGTTTGGGCAGGGGGGAGGATGGGAGCCTTTATAATTCTTTTTTTTTTTTTAAGATTTTCTTTATTTGAGGGAGAGCAGGAGTGGGTGAAGGGTCAGAGGGAGAGAAGAATATCCAAGGAGACTATTCCCTATTGGGGATGCCCCTCCATCCCCCTAACCGGGCTCGATCTCAGGACCCATGAGATCAGGACTTGAGCCGAAACCAAGAGTGGATGCTTAACTGGCTGAGCCATCCAGGCGCTCCACTTTTTTTTTTTTTTTTTTTTAGAGCAAGCATGAAGGGGGTAGAGGGTCAGAGGGAGAGAATCTTCAGGAGACTCCCAGCTGAGTGTGGAGCCCTACACTGACTCCATCTCAGGACCCATGAGATCCTGAGCCAAAACCGAAGAGTCCTTTTGTTAACCGACAGAGTCAACCGGCTGCCCCTATAATTGCTTCTGTACATTGTTTAACCTCAGCAGTTTTTTTAGTTTTTTGAGAATTTTGGATTAGGACCTTTGCACTTCTGTCTTCATAGTTAGCAGATAAGACCAGTGTGCTTTCTACTGATGTATTTAATAGTGAAGGAGAGACTCAGTAGTGTGTATGCTATTGAATCAAACAGAAGTGAAGGCCAGTGATTGTGTGAGAATCTGGATTTCAAATCTGCAAAAGGAAGGTGCAAAAAGGTAAGTTGTTCCTGGAAATGGAATGGACAGTTCTTTCCTCTGTTGAGGTGCTCATTTTTTTTTTAATTTTCTTTGATAAGAAATTGCAATTTATTTTTTGAGTTCTTTGCTAACGCTGCTTATAGACAACAATTTCTTTGGTTGGAGGGAGATATTTTTATTATGAACCTTCTGCATTTTTTTTTTTTAAAGATTTTATTTATTTGACAGAGACAGCAAGAGAGGGAACACAAGCAGGGGCAGTGGGAGAGGGAGAAGCAGGCTTCCCGCT